CACTTCATTCAGTTATACCTACACATAAAAGAAACTGGTGTAGAATAGAGCATCAGGCCTGGTGTCGAACCACGGCTCAGTGTGTAAGTGAGTCGGACTCACTACTTGAAAAGAATGACATCAAGTTCCCAAGTTAGGCCTCAACCCAGTCTCCGTAAGAAAGATTGAATCCGTGAGTAAGTGAGTCGGACTCCTCACTCGAATGGATAATCCAACCCCAAAGAACTAAAGTATATCAACCTTTTCGAGAAATGTGAATGTCAATTGAGTGACAAAATTGCTCGGAAGAGCGTGGCTCTAGGCCCCTAATAAGAGTTTAACTCGTCGCCTGAGGTTAGTAGTTCGAACCAGCAAGTAAAAACTTTTGAACGGTGACTCGTCCCCCGAGATCGGAGTGTGATGCACTTGGAAAGGGTAAGAGCACGCAAGAACTCGTATGAAGTCAAGAGTGTGCGGTATTAACATTTATATTAGAGCTTATTAATCGCCACACTCATATGACGTGACTCGGTGGCGCGAGTGTGTGTGCTCGGCCAGTGTACGAGTACGACTCGTACACACACTCGGGGACTCCCCGTCTGACGAGTCTCCCATCTGCGGGATGCTATTTCCAGAGTGCGAGCGCTTACCCCGACTCCAGCCTTCTACTCCATCAAAATTCAAAACCAGGGGATCGATGCCCAGTCTAGGTACGCATGGAAATTAAAGACAGAAGAAACATGTAGCGGCGGCTCACCGGACAATGCGGAACCCCGGGGGTAGAGACTCCAGCCGGGGCATCCAATCCAGGACTCCGACCTTGGACCCGCCACCGCCGGGTGGCTGCCGGGCTGGAAGCTACATCCACAACCTTGGAAGCCGCACTGCCGACCGGGGCGCCAACCTGCTGGGTTTGATATTGGCCTCCACGCATCGGAGCGAAAACTCGCCGAACAACGCGAGGGGCGAAGAACACCAGCCTGGAAGCATCTTTCTGCCCGGGGATCTGTCTGTCGTGGCCTGGGAGCCTTGGCTGCCCGGGGATCTGTCCGTCGTAGCCGTGGCCCCGTAGTTGGCGGCCTTGGAATTTGACTTCCAAGAATGGCCGGCGGAGGAGCCACGCGGCGGCAAACAGCCTGGCCGCCTGAGAGAAGGACATCATCCGGCTGAGGGGCGTCTGGCTATCGGTCCCCTTAATGATGCCGGCCAGAGGTGGAACGACGACTGCCAGCCCCTGTAAATTGCGCCGACCAAGGTCTAGGCTGACCGACCAGCTAGATTCGCCGGACTGGCGGGCGACGTCGGCAACCGGCGACTAACACAGGACGTCCGCCTGGAACGGCAGGATGACACAGTGGAGTTACCGGGCGGCGGTCAACCAACTCGGCGGGGGACTGCGGCACTGGGGCGACTCGGAGAAGACGCGCGCGCAGGTCGCAGGAGAGAGAGGAAAGAGAAGAAAGGAAAGAAAAGAAAAGGAAAGAAAAAAAAGGAAAGAAAAGAAAAGGAAAGAAAAAAGAAGGAAAGAAAAGAAAAGGAAAGAAAGAGGAAGGAAAGAAAAGAAAAGGGAAGAAAAGAAAAGGAAGGAAAAAATAAAATAAAGTCCGAAAATAATTTATGAAATAATAATAATAAATTTCAGGGATTTTTTGAAGTTGACCTGGATCCTGAAGTATAAGAGAAAGCTTGCTGCTGGAATGCTAGAACGCTAAGGGAATTAATTTGGGGCCTTTTAAAGTTGGGTGCCTTATTCAAAATTTGGAAATCTCCATAAATTGTGGGATTGACAGAATCCACAATTATGGTTCCCTGATATGTGAATATTTTTTAATGGGCAGTTGACCTGAACTACTCCCTCTTAGCCGAGTCTACTACTCGACTAAGGGAGTGGGGGACTCGTGATGGGGTTATGGGACTAGGCCCAAAGCCTAATCGGCCCAGGCCCCGAACTTGGACCAGCAGGCCCAAGCCCAGCAACCCAGAGCTCGAGTCGGCCCAACCAATCAGGGCAATCAAGGAGCGGAAGCCCAAGAGAGCCTGTCGACCAACCCAGCGGGGAGCCTGCCTTTCAGCCCAGTGGGGAGCCTGCCTTCCAGCATAGCCAGGAGCCTGCCCACCAGCTCAGTTGGGAGCCTGCGGTCCAGCCCAGGTGGGAGCCTACCTCCAGCTCAACGGGGAGCCTGCCTTCCAGCCTACCCGGGAGCCTACCTTCCAGCCTACCCGGGAACCTGCCTCCAGCCCGGTCAGAAGCCTTCCTCCAGCCTAGCGGGAAGCCCACCGTCCAGTCCAGCAGGAGGGAGCTCAAGCGTCCAGCCTGCCAGCCAGGAAGAGTAACGGCCAACAATCAATGTGCTATTAATTATGTGTTTAATTCTGTATTAATGTTGTAATTAATTAGTCATTAGTGTCTGTGGCAGTTACCATTTGTAATCGCCTATAAAAGGCAAGTCCGAATTTCAAATGAGATATGCTATTTCTGGCTAACTTTTCATATTCGTACTTTCCTAATTCTTGCTTGAGTGTCGTACGTAGCTTTCCTAAAAGCCTGCGAGCGTTCTATTTTGGACCAACATAAGTAATATTTTTTTTGTTTTTGTTTTTCTTGAGTTGACAAAAAAAGAAAAATTATTGTCTTTCCCCGGCAACGGCGCCAAATTTGACGGGCACTTTGTCACGGTGCGTCAAAGTAATATTCAATACTAACACTTATACGTAGTATAGCGTAGTAGAGTTCGTATCCACAGGGAAATGAATACTTCTCTTTTTATGTAAAACTAGTAAATAAGGGGGGGTTTTGGGATTGAATGATTTAATTTAATAAGAAGCTAAGATGAACGACTTATATGAGATTTAATTTAAAGATAAAAAGGACTTGGCATTGCTACTTTCCACTTGTTGATGTATTTTAGTCGATCATTGTTATATCTATAACTTATTCCCTCTCGAACACTCAATCGAGGAGTATATCCAATTCATCGAGGGTAGTTATTAACAACGACCGTTCATTAATAACCCTTACTATTAGTCAAGTATAGAACACAGCCATATACCAACTTGATAGTAGCATTTAATCTCTTAACTCCTTGATGAAATCAATTGAGATTGATAACCTCAACACAACGGTTTCAGTTTAACCAACAAAATTAATCCCTCTTAAGTTTATTAACCACGACCGTGCATTAATAAACCGAAGTTACTTACTTGTGAAACCATCAACGATTAACCATCGGTTCGTCAATCGTTTGTAGTAATAATTAATATATGAAACAAAACTAGTTGATCCTTTAAGTAATGTTCAAAATATTAATATGAAATATGAATAGGAATTAATTAATATTCAAGGAAGAATATAAATGTCAAGATGTTAACTAATTGTCATCTTAGTAACACTCCCTAACATTAATATATAGATGAAGAAAATAAATGCTACTATAACTAATGTCAAGATGTAAACTAATTGCCATCTTAGCAACACTCCCCAACATTATTATATAGATAGATTAAGGGAAGAATTAATATTCAAGGGAAGAAGTTAAGAAAATAACTCACAACTTTAATAATCAACAAGCTTCAAGAGAAACACCAAGAAATGAGAGTTTAGCTAGTCATTTGGAGACTAAACATGCTAGAAAAATATAAAGAAATGCTATTCTAAACTGAGCTTAAGAGTATGAAAGAAGGGATGGGAAATAGTGAAGGAAAAATGCGCTATTTATAGGTGTTTTTCAACACCTTGGGTCGGGTACCTGACTAGGTCAAGTGCCCACCCGACCGGGTGCATGTCAAAATCAGATAATCTTTCACGTTCTTGTGTTTCAGCACGTTAAAATGTCCCGGGTCAAGTCAGACCCGACCGGGTGGGATAGGGGACCCGACCGGGTCTGGAAATTTCCTGAGCTTCTTCGTTTGTTAAATCTTACCCGACTGGGTCAAGTGTTATACCCGGTCGGGTTTCAGCTCCTGGACAGTCCAATCACTTCAAAGTCCCCCTTTCGAACACCATAGTTCCTAATTCTACTTTACAACTTACAAATGAAGGTTAAAATACAATTACAACTAAAATCACACAAATGTTTACAAACTAAGTAAAACGGTAAACAATCCACACAAATCAAACATAAAAAAAACATTTATGTACTACTAATTAGTGCATATCATGTTTCCTATTTAATAACTAGTTTTTTGTCAGTTTATTGTAATAGCATGAACAACAATGTTGATAGATTAGTTTACCAGATTGCGGGGTTAGCAAACTTGACGAGTTCTCATTTCTATGTCTCATCCCAGAATAGCTCTGACCTACTGGATTGCTTTGTCTCTTGTCTTCTTCACTATTAATATTAATTTAGTGTCTTTCTTCCAAAAAAAATTGAACCAAAATCCTAAAAATCCAAGATGATTAATCGAACCATAGAATTCTATAAAACCTTAATAAAATCATGAAAACTTTCAAATTCAAGTCGAATGGAATAAAAATATAATATAATTTTCGATATGGTTTATCACTTTTCCAACCCCTTTTAGGTGATTAAATCGTCCTGAAAAAGTAGCTATTAACTTTATGCGCTGAATTGTGTAGTAATCAAAATAACTAAGGTAGAAGTTACTTTTTTGTTGAATAGACTGAAAGTATTTAAAGGATGAACTTAACTAGAATATAATTGTTTCTTTATTATATTAATAACATATATTTTTAATATAATTTTTTTATAATTCAACTTCTTCGATCATATTTGAATTAAATAGGTTTCGACAGAATTAACACTCTATAACTAAAATAATTGGTGTGTAAATACTTCGGATTAGTACTCGTAGAGATATTGTCCGTTGGATAGGTCATTATTGCTTTACGATATTAAGAAAAGTCTAATGACGATTTTCACTATTTTCCTTTATTTGTTAAGCGTAAAGCGCACCTAGAAAGTAAAAACATTGGTAGAAATATACGGAGTAATATAGATAGTTTGTTAATATTAGGGGAAAAAAGAAAATTTGAATTCTCAATATGCGAAAAAACATGTAGAAGAACATTAAAGGGAACCAAAGGAATAAATGACACAAATCTTTACTCCACTCATCCCTACCCCTCCTCCTCTAGTCCTCTCTTCACTAACCCCTTCATTTCCCAAGATTTCCTGGATTTGGCTCCTACCAAGAAACTCCAAGAAATGAGTCATAAAATTTGAGTTAACCACTCTCCCATCAATCTCATCATTTCAATCCATCATCATTTTACCCCATCTTTGCATACCCATCACTGATAATCTCTCTCTCTGCCTTCCTGTTTTTGCAACAAATATGGCAATCTTCTGATTTTTCAATCACCAATATACATCATTGAATCTCTGGAAAGCCCCTTCCTTCTATACATCTTTGATTTGATCCCCTGCCTTTTTTCTTTAATGAAAAAACCCTAAATTTCAAGAAGACCAGAAAGGCAGAAAGTTCAGAGCTTTCTTGATCCAAGAGATTTGGGAAGCAAATATACATATAAAATCAGAAAAGAAATGAATCCCTTCTCTCATGAAGTAGTTGCTTGCTCAAACCCCGACAACCCCAACTACGCCTCTGCCGTCGTGGCGGTGCCGGCGGCGCCGGCGTCGTCCAGCCGGTACGAGAATCAGAAGCGGCGGGACTGGAACACGTTCGGGCAGTACCTCAAAAACCACCGGCCGCCGCTGGCACTCTCACGCTGCAGCGGGGCCCACGTGCTGGAGTTCCTCCGGTACCTGGACCAGTTCGGAAAGACTAAGGTCCACACCCAGATATGCCCTTTCTACGGGCACCCGAACCCGCCGGCGCCCTGCCCGTGCCCTCTCCGGCAGGCCTGGGGGAGCCTCGATGCGCTCATCGGCCGGCTGCGGGCGGCGTACGAGGAGAACGGCGGAACGCCGGAGACGAACCCGTTCGGGGCGCGGGCTGTGAGGCTTTACCTCCGAGAAGTTCGGGATTTGCAGTCCAAGGCCAGAGGAATCAGCTATGAGAAGAAGAAGAGGAAACGGCCCCCGCAGATGCCGGTGCCGCCGCCGCTGCCGCCGGGTGAGGCTCCACTGCATATCTGATGTACGTGTGTATTGGTTGTCGTATATATCCAGAGCGATCATGTTCTTCCGGTTTTACCCTTCTAGTCTTTCTCTAGACTCTCTTTACCCCCAACAAAAAACAAAAAAAAAACAAAGGGAACTTTGGATTTTCCTTCACTTCTGTAGTATGTATGCTCTATAATGAACTGATCAATTATACTTCTGTGGGTTTTTATAACTTCTTGCTTTATTGGAAGTTCTTAATTTTATATTAATATTAACCATGAAAGGATATGATTTTGTATATTGGATTTTCAAATTTCCTTATTATGATATGAAGACATAAAACTAGGGTTAGGATTTGTGAAATTACACTCCTTCAAACAATTTGGACAACAAAATATACTCCATCCCTTTGTACTTGGTAATAAAGAATATAAGCATGTATTTAAATGGATTTGTTTGAGTCTCATGAAAATTTAAAAAAGATCAACAGTAAAATATTCTTTGTGCATATGATAATCATGTAATATCAAATTTAAGCAGATCAAATAAAAAATTTCCTATTCAACTGAAAATATCTTGATCAAACAATTCTTTGATTCAAATAGGAAGATATAAGTATTAATTTAAAACACACTGAAAAGGACTACCAAAACTAAGAGCTGTTAAGTTGGAGGGAATTTAAAATTGTAGAACGGGAGGTTGGGACCTTGGGAGCGGCATAGATACCAATAAATTTAGTAAATGGTGCCTGGCGTGGGTAATTGGCATTTGGCTTGTGGTAATGAGTTTATTTATGGTGTAAATTGAACATTTATGTTGTTCATGACACTTGGTTTTAGTGTGAATTGATATGTAATTAACGTGTCTAAATGATTCTTAAATGTGAAACGATTTGGGGTTTTAGTTTTTCTGATGTGGCGTTTGTTAGGATGTAAGTTTGAATATCTTAAACGCGTTTTGTGTTTCCATATCCATAGTCTATACAGTCTATACATGTAACAATGGATATGAAATTGCATCGGAGTAAGAACGTAAGTTTTGAAGATCTTTGATGAAGAAGACTTTTTACTAACATACTCCATCCGGTCCTAAATAAACTTCAATTTGACTTCACACAAATTAAGGAAATAAATTTGACTTTACTGTAGAGTACACTGTTGTGACATTGTTTGACATTGTTTGGCACTATTTTGCACTTTTTTGCACCGTTTGGATGTATATAATTCGCCAAATAAGGAAAAGAGAAGAAGTATGAAGTTTATTTTGAACCTACCCAAAAAGGAAAAGTGTTAAATTTATTTAGGATCAGAGAGAGTATACATCTTGTTTGGTTAAGGCAATTATGAGCGGTGCAAAAACCCTTAAAGGTTCATCTTGGTGAGGCCAAGTTTTGGATTTAGATTAACAAGGTAACCTTTTAGGTTTATGATAGAGGAATTGGAAAAAGTTATTGTGATCAATTTAGGGTTTTTGTTTTTCTCTACACGACGGTGGACGGGTGTATGCCTTTGTTAGGATGTAAGTTTGAATATCTTTAACGCGTTTTGCATTTCCATATCCATAGTTATGTAACGGATATGGAATTGCATCACCGGAAGGACCTAAGTTTCAAAAATCTTGACCGGAGAAGACTTTTTACTAACGTTTACCATGACATCGATATTGGTAGAACTATTGGTAGGTGTTTGAACAAGATCTTGTTTGGTTAAAGCAATTATGAATTTATGAGCGGTGCAAAGACCTTTAAAAAAGGTTCATCTTAATGAGGCCAAGTTTTGGATTCACATTAACAATTTAACCTTTTAGATTTATGAAAGAGGAATTGGCAAAAGGTATTGTGGACTTTCTTGAGGTTTATGTTCAAGTGGACCGACATGTCATGGAGGGGAATGAGGGGCATTCATGCGGGTTCACATCTTAGTCAATGTCAACTTGGTCCTAAGGAGAAAGACAGTCTCTTGGGGAAGGTGGGAGCTACTTATCACTACAACACTAGTTATCTCTTGAGGAGTACTATGTATTTGTTGTGGTTTCTCTAATACCCGCACCAAACAATATAATAATGGTACCTTTTTCAATAGTTTTCTATTTTCTCTGCGGATATTAAAATTGCATCACATAGGTGATTTTTGATAAACTTTTTTGCTAATGTTGGTCTAATATAGGACGCTCGTAGACTTTTAGAAAAGCTACGTACGATACTCAAACAGGAAATCAGGAAAATAATGCAAATAAGGAAGAAGCTAAAAGTGTTGAGTTGCCATAAATAGCATATCTGTATTTGAAATTCGAATTGCCTTTTATAGGCGATTACAAATGGTAACTGCCGAACATAATGATGATTAAATTAATTACAACATTAATACGGAATTAAAGACCTAATTAATAGTGCATTGATTGTTGATCGTTACTCTTTCTGGTTGGTTGGCAGGTCGGCCTGGTTGGCAGACATAACGCTTAAGCTCCTCGTGCGGCAGGCTTCTGCTGGATTGGAAGGCAGGCTGTTGGCCGGGCTGGAAGGCAGGCTCCGAGCTGGGCTGGAAGACAGACCGCTGGCCGGGCTGGAAGGCAGGCTCCTAACTGGGCTTGAAGACAGGCCGTTGGGCGGGCTGCAAGGCAGGCTCCTGGCTAGGCTGGAAGGCCGGCTCCTAACTGGGCTGGAAGGCAGGCCGCTGGCCGGGCTGGAAGGCAGACTCCTGACCGGGCAGGAATGCAGGCCACTGGCCGGGGTGGAAGGCAGGCTCCCCGCTAGGCCGGACGACAGGCTCTCTTGGGCTTCCGCTCCTTGATTGGCCTGATCGGTTGGGCCGACTCGAGCTCTGGGTTGCGGGGTTTGGGCCTGCTGGTCCAAGTTCGGGGCCTGAGCCGATTAGGCTCTGGGCCTAGTCCCATAACCCCATCACGAGTCTCCCACTCCCTTAGTCGAGTAGTAGACTCGGCTAAGAGGGAGTAGTTCAAGTCTGCTGCCAATTAAAAGATATTCACATACCAGGGAGCAATAATTGCGGATTATGTCAGTCCCGGAGTTTATGGAAATTTCCAAATTAAATAAGGCTCTCAGCTTTTCACATTAATTTCTTCGGCATCCTAGCATTCCAGCAGTCAGCTTTCTCCCAGATTTCAGAAGTCATGTCAGCTTCCAAAAATTCCTGAAATTCATTATTATTATTTTATAATTATTTCAAACTTTATTTTATTTTTCCCTCCTTTTTTTCTTTCCTTTTGTTTTCTTACCTTTTCTTTTCTTTCATTCTCTTTTCTTTTATTTCTTTTCTTTCCTCTCTCCTAGAACCGCGTGCGTGCGTCTTCCTCACGTAGCCCAGCGCCGCAGATTCGACGGAATGTCAATTCAACCGGCCGCCGTCTGTGACCCGGCGGCTCCATAGGTCTGGTCCTTGTTGTGTGCGATGGCTCCTCCGCATTCCAGACGTGGTCTACTAGTCAGCGTGTTGTTGTCTTCAACTTGTATGTTCTAGAGCCGATCACGGTGTCAACCACGTAAGGGCCTTCCCACTTAATGGAAAGCTTACCTCCCTCTGTCGGCTTGTTGGCCTTCCTTCGCCTCAAGACGTAATCACCAACATCAAAATTCTGAGGCCGGGCTCGGCTGTCCTGGTATGCTTTGACTTGTCGTTGATAGTTTTCTGCTTTGATGAAGGCACGATCTCTTCTTTCCTCGATGAGGTGGAGCTCGGCTCGATGCCTCTCCTCATTGGTGGCTGGTTCGAACTCTTCCACTCGTCGGTTGGGGACTACGGCCTCGAACGGTTGCATCGCCTCAAACCCATAACACAAGGCGAAGGGGTTCTCTCTGGTTGCCTTCCTTGGGGTTGTTCTGAAGGTCCAGGGTATATTGTTCAACTCCTCCACCCAGGCAGTCCCGAGGGCCTCCAACTTCTTTTGCAATCCATCGACGATTGTCCGATTGGTGTTCTCCACCTGTCCATTTGCCGGAGGGTAGCAGACCGCAAGCCGGCTGGATTCTACGCCCCACTCTGCGCAGAATTGCCGGAAAGCTTCGCAATCAAACTGCCTTCCGTTGTCGGAGATTATTTGTAGGGAACCCCAAACCTATGAAAAATATTCTTCCATATGAACTTCTTACATTGGAGATGCGTGATGCTGGTGAGCGGTTAGGCCTCAACCCACTTCGTAAAGTAGTCCACTGCGACGATGACAAACTTTCGGTTTCCCGACCCGGTTGGCAAGGGACCGACCAGGTCACCGCCCCATCTTGTGAATGGAAGGGCAGTGCTCATCGGTGTGTACTAGGGGTGGGCATGAAAAACCGTAACCGCTTAACCGTGGTAAATAACCGAAAACCCGGTGTTTTTTTTGTTAACGATACCGTATTTTTAAAGATTTGTGGTACGGTTAACCAACTGAAAGAATATAGCAGCTCACGGTACGGTTAAGGTTTTGAAATTAAATACCGTCGGTTAACCGATAATGCAAAGTTAAGATATTATTATTCCAAATTCATATCACAATAAGCCTTTAGCCGAAATTGTTTTCCCCATTTAATGGAAAATAAATACAAAACCATTGTCCCAGAGGTTAATTGGTTGTGCGTGTAAATGCATAAATTTATTATTGAAAACTAACCAACTACCTTTATCACATTCTACATGAGTCAGGTAGTTGTTATCTATCAGGATTATCTACAACAATTGCTACATGAATTAATCATTGAAAATAAATACTCCGTATTAAATTTATTAATAATTCCATATGTATGCCCATGCTCTCTTTATAATAAAGAGATGAAAATGCTCGATTGACACAAAAGAAAAGAATAAGAAGAGCAAAAAAAGAAATTGACATACGGGAGTCCAGAAGTAAGTGCACTGGTTTCTTGTATATACGGGACTAGGGAGGACTGCTACCATGTTTGCTTCTTCTCGCGGACGGTTTTTTGGTTAACCAATTAATGATTAACCTATACCACGGGTCCACGGTTAAATATTACTCGGTTAACCATTATTACGGTACGGTTAATCATATTATAAATATATAAATCGGAATCTCGGTTAACCATAAATTGGTTAACCAAAATACGGTTAACCAACCATGCCCACTTCTAGTGTGTACATCGTTGCTAGCCGGTCGGGACTCTTCTGACATGTCTCACATCTCCTTGCATAGTCGGCACAATCCTTCATTATTGTTGGTTAAAAGTACCCCTGGAGGACGACCTTCCTAGCTATCGTGCATGCTCCCTGGTGTGCGGAGCACACTCCCCCGTGGAGTTCAGAGACGATCATGTCCGCCTCATGTGTGCACAAACACTTTAGTAGG